ATCTTTTTTTTTCCACAACTTCCAGTTTATTATACAGGCATACATTTATTCTAAAATTGCTATTTACGTTGCTGAATAAAGTTTTTCAAGTTGTCACCAATCGCTCGCAAAGCTCTTCCAATTTCTCTGTATTGTCTCTGTTTTGCATCACGGAGGCTAACATGAAGGTTAGCAGTTGAAGTGTTTTCATTTTGGGAGCTTCTATCATCTCTTGATTGCCTAATCAATCTTCTCTGTCTGGTTTGGGTTGTACTTGAAATGCTGTGTCGTTTGAAGACCTTGAACCCAATTTTTCCTTTGTGCCTTCGAAAATGAAAAGCCAATTTGAGTGTTCAATTGTTGATATCAAAAACGCCATGGGTGTAGCGACATATGTATTTTAATTGCAATTTTGCAGCTAATCCTTTCACCCTACAGAGATGGAGAACAAGTCCTCAACGAGCATATTCAGTTTTTTTTTTTTTGTTAGAGTCACACAAAAAGCGAAACCCGAATATAGTACCATGAAGTGATTTGTTTTTGTTCTTGAAGTCGGGTCATATGGTGCGGGCGGCGAGAATCGAAACTTTGACGAGGATTGCTTTCTAAATGTTAAGCTATGGAAAAGTTTGCTAAGTCTTGTTGCGCGGTAAATCGTAATAATAGCCGGACCCCTAACGACTAACACCCCATTGTGGCGAATAACTTACCTTTGAATTGTCCTCACAATTCTTAATAAGAATGCCTTTCGATTCTTGACCTCTCTTCGAAGATATGTAAATTATCAGGTTTGTCGCGCAGTACAATAACTTAGTTCGTGACCAGTAAACATCACCTTGGAGCGAAATTAGAAATTAAAGTTGGCGGCTCCAACTCTGTGACATCATCAGTTCTGCTCTTAATGATAAGTCACAGTTGCTCTTTGTTGATAAAATCTAAAAGAGGAAACTATGTTTTTTTTTCTTTCCTCCATAAATGAGGTGGTCGTGCACGTTGCACAAAAAAGGCGACTTGATAGTCTCTCAACACCATCTACTAGAAAGACTCATCAGTTTTCTTACTAGATAGTAGAAAAAAACCGAAGGCAAAGTTGGCTGAAAAGAATAGACCGGCAGGCATTACTTGTGGGATTCCAATCCGTTACCAAAATCAATTGTCCTAACTGACAGGAGATCATTTTGTGAGGATTGCCTCACTGGTAAAGAATGTCACCGTGGCCTTTGATTACTGACGTACAGGATGGATTGCTAGACTTTGGTTTAACTTGCAACTTTACAATTTACTTCTTTAAGTTTGTATACAACGTGAGGTGATCAACTAGCACTAAAAGCATTGCATCATTTGACCACCACAAACGCCAAACAAAAATTGTACTGAAATCTTTGTTACAGTAAACTCAGCAAAACATCTGAGACTTATTTCTTCGCAGATTTCGTTTTTATAGATCCTAAGAACCCTCCTCATTTTTCTAGCACTTCATATTTTTTCTCCAGCAGAGCGAGTCTATAAATAATTCACAGGAGAATACTCTCGTAAGTGACTGACACAGAACTTCTCCTTACAATATCAGTAAGACAAGCGATGAGAATAAAGAAAATTGTCATTAGAGAATTATTAGTTGATCCAATACCAAATTCTCTGAAGTTACATCATAAGAATTGTTACTAATGAGATCTTGAGTGAAAGGGTTAAGCTGTCTTAGATAAAGGTCTGGAATAACTCTGGATGGGAGTAAGTGCTTACTATTATCTGCTCGTTTGTTTCATGTTAAGTATTGAATCGTGTTCAGTTTTGAATGTGGTGTTATCTTAAAATGGATGCTATCCAGCAAAACCTTTACAAAGGGCATCACCAGTCTCGCTTGGTAATGTCGAGCTGGCGCACTTGAAAAAAAAACGCTCAAATGAAGGTGTACTAAAATCCCGCGTGTCTGTACTTTATTGCTTTGCCCATTAACCTTTTCACTCCCTCTTACTGTCTGCCATACAATTCCTAAGTGGTTAGAATTTGGTGCTGGATCAAGTAATGAACCCTAATTGCTATTTCTCCTTATACTCAGTAGAAAATGCCCAGTAGATCCAAAGATTTTGGACACTAGAGGCTAATTTTGGATTTTAGACGCTAATGACCGATTTAAAATTTTGGACACAAGTGGCCCATACTCGATTTTGAACACTGGTGGCCGATTTCCCTTTATGGACACAAGTGACCGATTTTCGTCCCGATTTCCGATTTTGGACACTAGTGGCCGATTTCTGAGTTTATGCACTAAGAAAATTGTTTATCATTGACAGGAAAAATTAAAATTAATCGAAAGAAGCCTAGGTTTAATCAGCATTGGAACCTAGAGGATGGATCGATAGAGGAACAGTGAGATTCTTGAGCTCGGCCTCTACAAAAGTTATCATTACTGTTACTATTGTTATCATCATTATCATCATCATTATCATTATCATTATTATTATTATTATTATTATTATTATTAATATTGCTGTTGTTGTTAAAATGATTATTTGTTACCATCTAATTTATTGGTTAAATGTCAATTAGTCTCCATATTCTTGAATCATTACACTTCTCTTGTGGAACTGGGTACTCAGATCAGAGATGTGGGATGCGGCAGTAGTAGCCATATACAATCTAAACTGCCTACTTTTTAATTTGCAATTAATTACTCACAAACGTCTGTGGTTGCTTAATGAGAAAATTTCGTGACATCATTGCATTCAACTTGTGTAACGATGCGTGAAACAGCAATTAGTCGCGAACAAAGCTGTTACTTGGTGACTT